TCTGTTTTGAATTGTCTGGTAAGAACAGTGTGTTTCCTCAGTAACTTGGTTTTTAACCAGTTTAAATGATTTTCCCTTCTACTATGAGGAAATCCCAGGAGTAGATAGTTAGATGACAGGTGTTAATGTCATTAACATTCTGTCAGCTCTTGTCAATGTGTTAAAGGTTCAGTCACTGAACCCCTGCTGTTCAGTCACTCCTGTCCTCCAGTTGGTGAAGTCATTTAGCCACCAGTCAATCAAAAAACTAAGTTGACTTTGGGCAGTAGACTGCCCTGCCATTGACGAAATCTATGTGAGAAAATGTGATAAGAAATTTGTCAACAGGATATAAGCAGGAAGGTGAACATTGTGGTTAATGTGCTTTTTAGACAGCTTAAGATGTTAAATCACAACACATATTTAAAAGTCTAAGAAGCCCTTTTTTAAGAATGGTCTTCTTTCCTGTCAGAAAAAGCAAGGAGTAATAAGTAAAAGTGATCCTTCAATTACAAAGCAAGAAAGAAAAAATCTTGCACAGTCACATTACTGGTCAAGTAGAAAAAAAATGCAAATTCAGAATCCACATATAATGTGCACTCAGAGGATATCCAGGTCTAAGGATTGGCGAGCAATCCATTCACACTGCTCCCTCTCACCTCTCTTTAGTATGGGCTATTTTTCAGAACTTTGAAAATGTGATTGATTTCAGGTGTTATTCTGAACCTACTTCCTTTTAACGTTTATTTATTTTTGAGACAGAGAGAGACAGAGCATGAACGGGGGAGGGTCAGAGAGAGGGAGACACAGAATCTGAAACAGGCTCCAGGCTCTGAGCTGTCAGCACAGAGCCCGACGCGGGGCTCGAACTCACGGACCGTGAGATCATGACCTGAGCCGAAGTCGGCCGCTTAACCGACTGAGCCACCCAGGTGCCCCTACCTCACCAATATTTCCAATAGGAGCCAAACACAGACACAGACTACATAATTTCTAGTAATCTTAAAAGAGAAAAAGTGGTGGAATCTAGAAATTAGTAAAGTAAAAACAACAGGGCTATGAGAAATAATGTCATGAGTTGTTGAAGTTATCTTAAGACAGCTTGAGGGGTGCCTGGGGGCTCAGTCAGTTGAGCTTCTGACTCTTGGTTTCAGCTCAGGTCATGATTTCACGGTTTGTGGGTTGAAGCCCCCATCAGGCTTTGTGCTGATGGCATGGAGCCTGCTTGGGATTCTATCTCCCTCTCTCTCTTCCCCGCCCCTGCTGTCTCTCTCTCTCACTCTTTCTCTCAAAAATACATAAATTAACATAAAAATTAAAAAAAAAAAACAGGGGCACCTGGGTGGCTCAGTCGGTTGAGTGTCTGACTTCGGCTCGGGTCATGATCTCACGGCTTGTGAGTTCGAGCCCCACGTCTGGTTCTGTGATGACAGCTCAGAGCCTGAAGCCTGCTTCAGATTCTGTCTCCATCTCTCTCTCTCTATGCCCCTCCCCTGCTCATGCACTGTCTGTCTGTCTGTCTCCCTCAAATATAAATGAATATTAAAAAAAAAGACAGCTCAAGCTCACTACAATGAAACAGGCACAAGGTGGCCAATTCTAGTATCATCTATGGAAAATACTCCTCATTTAATAAACAAGAATGCCTTTTAAAGCTCAAGTATGTAAAATTAAGTGATATCTAATACATAGTAAACATTCAACAAATAAAAGTGAATATTACCATTTTTAAACTTACTAAAAATAAGAATATAGATTCTATTTCAATTCACTGAACAAATGAACTAAAACTTCCAATACTATTATGAGCATATGCACATGAAGAATACTAAGAATTCTGCTTTAAAAATCTGCATAATAGCAATAACTTCCCCACATAGTTAGATTTTTGAACAATGTGCATTTCTATATATTTAGTGCTATTATATCCATTATAGATTATCCCCTTTGATCCTAGAACCTCCATACTATGATTTATAAGAGAATTATCCCCACTTCTCCCTTTTTTGTAGTCTTATAAAATTAGTTTTGCTTATTTTACTCTTTCCATCTATTTTTCTGAGTCAGAACAAGCAATCAATTTTGGATAGAGAAAGGGAGACAGAGGTGATAAGGTTCCTTCTAAAGCCACTGGCTATTCTCCAGGATGTAGAAAATAGCTTGAGCGAATACATTCATAGGAGAGATTTTCGTCTTCTTCTTTTTTTTTTTTTAAACCTCCCTGGTCATTGTTTTTTTTTTTTTTTACATTTACTTTAAAAAGGTGTGGAATATCCTTTCTCAATCTGATTACACTTTACATACATACTCTAAAAGGATGATTCAATATTATTTAAGTTCCTGAAAAGATTTATAATATGTGACTCCATCTTGTGCACTATTATATTTTCAGGGCCTGGGAATGACTAGCACATTTTAAGTGTTCAATCAATATTGTGAAAGAGTAAGGGTGAACATAAGGTGCTATGAGATTTAGCTCTACTTGGAGATTTGGTGAAGATTCAGCCTGCATATTCGGTTACTCTCTGGCAATCATGCCATTGTCGTTAGCAATAGCAATGACACTGTTCTGAAAGCAGAGAGGCATGGCAGTGCTATTCAGTTTTTGAATTCATAGTCCTTATAAGAGAGATTATTCTTGAGTAGGTAAGGTTACTTGCAAGGGAAACTATTCCCATACTTGTGCCTGTAGTTGTTCAATTTAAAGTTCAGTGACCTAAAACAAAACAAATTATTGGCAGGGGACAGAAATATCAGAAAGATCATCCAGTAGAAAGAATCCTGTACTAAACATAGAATTGTGGTTTTAATTTTAAAACATAATCAAGTATTCCAGGATGCCTGGGTGGCTCAGTTGGTTGAGCAGCCCAATCTATTTCAGCTGAGGTTATGATCTTGCAGTTCATGAAATTGAGCCCCGCATCAGGCTCTGGGCTAACAGTGCAGAGCCTTCCTGGGATTCTTCCTCTCTCTCTGCCCCTCCCCTGCTCACCCATGCTTGCACTCTCTCTCTCAGAATAAACTAAAAAAAAAAAAAAACATAATCACGTATCCCACTTTAAAATATTCTTCTCTTTTGTTAGTGCCAGAAGAGTAGAAAAGTATTAATTAGACACAAAAATTCATATAACATATATACATATGAAGATCATGCATTTTGTTTGTAATTTTCTAGAAGATTGAAACTCTCAATGGGTGCCTTAAGGAGTCTTCCAAAGCAAGAATAATTTGAGCAACGGATTTATCATTGTCATTCATTAACTTGGAGTTTTTGACCAACTCAACTCAATATTCTAAACTTTACCTAAAATAAATTGCTGTATATTTTATTTTGTTTTTCAAAAAAATATGATATACAAAGTAACAGCCCCATACATTTTAATATAATTTGCAATCCCCTTGTGGACAAATAGTCACATATTAGTGCCACTTAAATGAACAATAACCATTCATCTGTAACATACAGACACAGGAGGATTTGGATTTTCATTTTAGAGTGCTTAATTACCTGCATAAAGAGAGAAACAAAATAAAGAGTCTTGGCCAAGTTCATGAGGGTTTGAAATTACTTTTCTTTTTCTAAATGAGCAACAAAGACTCCTCAATGTTGCAAGCTGTTGTGTGGCCATAAGACAACCGTAGAAGAAAATATTAAAAGGAACAAGGGGATCAGGAATTAAATTCAAATATATGAGGCAAGAACCAAAATCAAAAGTTGAGAGATGTAGGTGGTATTTCCAGTCACAGGACAATATAACATATTTTTAAGAAAAATCTAGTCAGCAATAAAGCTAAATATTTACATTAAGTGTCCCAATGTGGGAAGTTACATAATACAAGGTTATTTTTGAGGATTTTCTGCTTCCAAGCACTCACAAACGTATGTTTCCAATATTCCTATTTATGAAAGTACTCAGCATCACTAACAGACTCATAAAGCAGTATTAATTCATGAATCAAATGCCTTTGAATGAAAAAAAAAACATTTTTCATGAAAATCTAAATTGCTATTCTCAAATAATTCAAGTTCAGTACCGTAACTTCCAAGTTTGGCAGTTAAATAAGCATACCACAGAAGAAAAAAGGTAATAGATTTAACCTTGAAACAAGGTGACTGTCATATAGTTGGAAGAATTTACTTATCAGATAAAGTATTTATAGTATTTATTCCCTCTAGAGAGATAAAATGGTGAACCAGTATGTAGTTCAAGATATTTATTTAAACCTAAAAGAGGATGATATGGCTCAAACTTTTGAAAACCAAAAGAGAAAAAAGTCATATTTAATTTAGGTGCCAGATTTAACATTAAGCAATTCAAGCTAAATGCTATTTCTTAAGTTCTTCTTTCATATATTTCTATACTTTATATGAATATACTGTACATAAAATAGGGATTTAAAAATATTTATTTAGAAGTAAATACTTAATGTTATATAGATAGCTACTATAATTTATTTAAATACATAATCTACTGATCAATTCATCTAACCATCCATCCAGGCATCCATTTTATCCTTCTCAGTCCTTTCAGTCAATTGATATTGGCCATCCTCTGATTGCTCTTGAATATACATGTGTGTCCTCAGCAAATACCTGCACACATGCAAAGAGGAAAAAAAAAAAAAAAAAACTTCTGACCCAAAAAAACTTATGTTGATCATTTTCTCTAAGCAACTAGTTACATAAGGAGATTTTTTGTTTTGTTTTGTGTCTACTCAAGTCTCATAAGACTTACCTTGCATATCCAGTGGAGCTTCAAATGAAATTCTTCTTTGAGAAATGGTATTTTTTTCTCATATAACTGTTCCCTTGCCTAATCTACCTGGTTTGAAACACTGTCAACTAAAATTTATGCTGCTAATATAAAACAGCCTATATAAATTCATCCAGTCTGAATAGAATAGTAAGTTTAGAACTAACTACACAGTAACTACAGAGAGAGAGAGAGAGAAAGAGAGAGAGAGAGAAAGAGAGAGAGAGAGAAACTAATAAACAATGTGCTTAAATAAATAAAGGATATTGTCATCTTCTCCACAAACTTATCATGTCTATTTTCTGTTTCGGGGAATTTCTTGATATCATGTTCCAGATGAACAATGTGTTGTTCCATTGTTGCAAGGTTGTTCTTGAGAATTTGAGCTGAAACTAAAGAACAATGTGCAAAGTGTTTAGAGTTATTTTACCAAATAATCCGTAAAACAACTAAAAAAAAACAGTATCAGTTAAAATATTTTCTAATGTGCAGAATAGTTCCATTAAGTTAACTCACGTCTTTTGGAATTGCTGCTCATAAACATTCTACTCTCCATGAAATAAGTGGAAATGTGTAATATAATACAGCAAATCATCATGTTTAACATGAGAATGTCACCATTTTATTCAGCCATTAGTTCAAATGAAGGCATTTCTATTTAAATTTATTGATGGAATTCCTTATATTTCATTCTTTAAAATCTAACTTGAAGATTAAAGAGAAACTGAGGTTCAAAGAGATCTTACTATATTGATGCATGTTCTTGGTTATATAAAAGATTTAAAGTTAAATCATATAAAAGGATCAAATATTTTCTTTTGTTGAAATATCCTGATTTTTATAAACCAACATGTATGGTAAAAGTGCCCATCTTTAGTACTTTTCATACACATATACATGTGAAAAAATACTGTTGATACATAAAGAGAATTTAGAGCAAATCCTAGAGAATACATATGCACATACATACCCACAAAGCTTCAGTGTGCCCTCAAACACCATCATTAATTGCTTTAATTGTCCCTAACATTATCTGTACTTTTCTTTTTCTCTCCTCGTTGACAACCAATAATTTTAAGTATTGTATTCCCACTGCTCCTAAATACATACACATTTCCCAGATCTCTTATGATGCCCTCTCTGCACAGAGTTATTTTTTTAATAGACACTATTTTATAGATACTCTATTACTGCATGACTGCCAATTATATATGAAGACACTTCTATCAATAACAATGGCACTTGACAGTGTTCTAGCTAAAAAGACAAGGTTAAGTATTAGAATTTAATAGGTTATCCTGTGACATTGATTTTTAAATCCTGGCCTCTGAAACACTGTTCTTTTCATTAAAAGATTGTGAAACAGAAATAGAGTAATATTACAATTCTCTTTTTATTTTAAATTTTTTTTTCAACATTTATTTATTTTTTTTTTTTTGGGACAGAGAGAGACAGAGCAT